CCCTTGTTGGTGAGGAATAAATGTAGGTGACATGATAAGGGAAGATCTTTAAAACTCCTAGAAGTCTCCTGACTATAAATTATACTGTAGTGAGGTGAGTATGGCATTGCTTCTCCGTGAAATATGAGGACTTCAAAATACCAGCTTGCACGGAGAGAATATTTTCCTCTTTATTACTATCCAGTGTAAAGCTCTGGATATTTTTACTTTTGCTAGAATCATTTGGTTAATAGCATCATAATTCTTGAGATGACTTCATATTAAATTCTGTTAAAGGCAGCAACATTTTAGAAAAGATGTATTTCTATATCAGGGGCATATGCCACCATTTTCCTTAATTATTTTTGACAATTCGCTCCCAGACTGAGATTTCTGAGAATGGCTTTAAATAAATAGCTTCGAAGGTCAGCATATGATAGGCAGAATATCAGAAATAATTAAGAAGATGATGCTGTGTAGTCTAGAGCTCCAACAGAAAAATTATATCCTATGGTAAATCATTTCAATCAGAAGTCCTCCAAGTTTTAACCATTCTGCTGTTAGCGCTTTTCAATGCTTCCTGATGGTATTTGAAATTTGAAAACATTTTCTGAGCACAGTGAATAAATATGAGGGTACTATAATAGAGAGAGTCCTGCTCATGCTAGAGAGAGATGAAGAGGAGACTAAGTAAGTTCAAGCTAATCTTGTTTTCTTGACTTTAGTAAACGTCTGATAATTTTGTGGGATGGATGACTTGAGGTGGTTGAATGAAAGGTGGCTACTTATACATAAAGAAACAGCACATTCTCATAAAACTAAATATTTCATTGCCAACTAATGCTTAATTTACCATTCACTGGAAGAAAGAGGAGTAAAATTGCTCATGCATATACCTGGAAAATAGTTCCACTCTATAATACTATAAAAAGATTATTATCAAAAGGGAGAAACAGATATTTTTATCACAATGTATGAGGGGAGCTCACCAGGCCATTTTATATAGACAGAGTACAGGATGCTGTTTCTGGGGGGATTCTTCAGGCTGTGTCTAAATTCAGAAGTCATCATACAGATGTGGACTTATAGAATGGCTAAGTGCACAGCTTGGCGGATCCTCTCTTCGGAGAGCAACATTACAAATGGACTGAATTGTCTAAGATGGTCCTCTTAGGACTAAGGGAATAATGCACACACAAATTTAGAAGCACTCATTGATGGAAAACTCGTGAGCATTGGGATAAGACAGTTGGAGTCTGTGACCTTGTGGCCATGTTGCTTCCGGCAACCTCAGCTCTATTTGCACAACATTACCAGAGGAAGATAGCCCATGAAAACCAGCAGTTTCATTACCAGAGGAGGGGGCTGACCATTTGGATTGGAAAGCAGAAAAAAGTACACTCCTGAAAAGTTGTCAGAAACAGTGGTGATTTAGATCATTTTATTCACAACAGCATGAAAAAGGAATAATTACATGGGACTAAATTCAACCAAGTACTCCAAGAACTGTACACAGAACACACAAAACATTGCTTAGAGAAATTAATAAGATTCAATAAGTGGAAAGACAGTCCATGTTCACAAATTAGAATTCTCAATATTGTTTAGATGGCAATTCTCCACAAGTTGAAATCTCGGTTGTATTTTTTTTGTAGAAATTGGCAATCTAATTCTAAAGTTTACACGAAAATACAAAGAACCCATAAAACCAAGAACACTTTTATGAAAGAAGAACAAACTTGGAGGACTTATACTTTCTGTTTTCAAAACTAACTATAAAGCTACAATAATCAAGACCATGTAGCACTGGCATAAGTATATACATATAGATCAGTGGAACAGAATGTAGAGTCTAGAAATAAAGTATTACCTTTAGGGTCAGTCAATTTCAACAAAGGTGCCAAAACAAATCAATGGAGAATCTTTTCCAAAAATGTTGCTGCGATAATCGGTTAGCCACATGCATAGGAGAAACTTACAGAGATTTCACAAAGAGATCCTTTGATTGTCCTGTGCTTGTTTTCCAAATACATGTATTACAATCCCAGCAGTCTGTATAGTTCTGGAATCACATGGGTTTTTCTAAATTCTGGGTAAAACTCTATTTCTATATTCAATTCACACTGCATCAGAAGATGTCCAAGTTTCAAAACATACAAGTAGATATTCATGGTGACCATATTTTATTAATCCTAATTTAAATTTTCAACACTAAACCTTACGAGTAGTGTTTTTGTGGGGTTTTTTTTTTGTTTTTTTTTAATGTTTATTGTTGAAAGTATTACATATGTCTGCTTTTTTTTCCTCACTGACCCCTTCTAGCCTGCCCTGCCCCCTGCCCCAGGCCTTCACCACACTATTGTCTGTATCCATGGGTTATGCATATATGCATACAAGTTTTTGGTTGATTTCTTCCTACCCACCCCCTGAGATTCGACAGTCTGTTAGGAGTATTTTTTAATGGAAATTTCCAATTTCCAAAAATATCCACCTGTGATATGCTAATGTTGCAAAATGATAAGGAACTCCCAACGGTTTGCCTTAAATAATGAAACTATTACATTTGCATCAGGCCATCACAAAGAGGGAGGTTCATCAATAATATCAGGCCATAATTGTTAAAAATGTTATAAATTATTCGGCTTCTTAGATTCACTATATTAAGAAATGTACCATGAATTACTTTGTTGTTCTTGATATCGATTGGTTTTTTAAAATAACTAAATCAATAAAACAAATATTGAGGTTCTTATGCACATACCACTGATACACAACAATGAACTGAAACTCTCTTCCTTTCCTACAGGAACTCGGAACAATGGAGAGAAATCAAACATGTAAACAATCCTTTATGCCAAGTAATTTAGTACAGAAGTGAATGAAATGAGTATTGAATGAATTAATAACAGAAAATAAGCAGATAGCAGCCACAAACCTAAATCAGTGCTCTATTCCAACTGTTTTATTGTTTGTTTCCAATGAATCTAAAATAACATAAAAACGAATGAAATAAGCAATACTTCCTCTCTTTGTCCTTCACTTGCTTCAGTGAACATTACGTGGTGGAGGTGAAGCTTCCAGCGAGGATGTTTGAGACTCTACCTCTGCAGATCAAAGAAGGGCAGTTACTTCACGTACATCCCGTACTTTTTAATGTCGGAATCAATGAACAGCAAACTCTTGCTGAGAGGTAAGCTTCAGGTATAAGATTGATATTCAGGTTTTCTTTCTATTTATTTTTTAATTTCTTTTTAATTACAGTTTATATTAAATATTATTTGGTATTAGTTTCAAGTATACTAGAATAGCGGTTAGACAATCAGATATTTTAGAACTAGTGTTTGCCCTGATATTTCCAGTACCTACCTGGCACCATGCTAAGTTGTTACAATATTACTAACTATATTCCCTATGATGTACTTTACATCCCCATGATTATTTTGTAACTACCAATCTCTACTTCTCAATCCTTTCACCTTTTTCACTCAGTCTCCCAACCCCCTTCCCACTGGCAACGCTCAGTATGTTCTCTGTATGAGTTTGTTTCTGTTAGAGAGAGACAAGTAGGTTTTTAGTTTAAACCAGGGGTGGGGAATCTCTGGCCCATGGGCCATAGAAGGCCTGTAAAATCATTTGGTTGGACCCTGCCAAGGCATTAGGGGTGAGTTAATTAAATGTTTGACCAAATATAGCGGGCTAATTTTTAAGTTGAGATTGTGGTATGACTCTCAAATGATGTTATAAATATCTGAATGGCCCTTGGCAGAAAACAGGTTTCCAACCCCTAATTTAAACCTAGGAAATGCTTATTGAAAATATAAGATATGTAATATACATGTAGAAAGTTTTATCTTGAGAAAGAGGCAGAAGAGCACCAGTGCAGAGGCCTTCATGGTATGGACAGAAAAAAATACTGGCAGAACTACTCCTTGAGAGGTTGGAGGGCTCTGCATGTACCCTTGTCAGTGTGTATCTTATCTAATAAAAGACAAAAAGGGTAATTAACCATGCCTCCGCTACACTTCCCATTGGCTAATCAGGGCAATATGCAAATTAACTGCCAACAAAGATGGCAGCCGGCAGCCACACAGCTGAAGTGAACAGGAGGCTTGCTTGCTCCAGAGATGGAGGAAGCCAAGGTTCCCCACCTGCCGTGGCCCAGCTCTCAGCTCCGACAGCAATGAAGTTTCAATTATAGAAGCTAAACAAACCCCAGATACCTGCTTTCAGCAGGCTGTGGCCTCAGAGCTGGGAGTGAGCAGGATGGCAACAAAGTTTCAATTATAGAAGGTAAATAAATCCCAGAATAAAAAAAAGAAAACAAGGAGAGGCTGGGGGCTTCCATCCCTGGGGGGCTTGGCCAGCCTGAAAATGGCCCTCAGCCCCTCACCCAGGCTGGCCCAACCTCCCTGGGGTGAGGGGC